GAATAAAAATATCTCAGGGCCAAAAAAAAAGGCTTCCAGCAGCTCAGTGAGTAAATTATAGACATTTACTGCCTGTGGCAGTGAGGTCCATCACCAAAAAAATAAACCCCAAAGCACAAAACCTTATGATAAATCATGTTACCTGTCTCTGTGATGGTGTTAGCATTAAACTCCCCAGCTTTGGTCCATCCCAAACGTGTGCTGCAGGGAGAGATGGAGCAGTGGGGCACAAGGAAGGCGAGCAGGATTCGGCCCTGTGCTGTGCAGGTCTCAGTGGATACTGGCTTAACCAAGATGTTCCTCCTGTTCTGTGGGGGGGTTTTCCCATCCCACCTCGCACCAGCTGCTCCCTGCTGCTGCCAGGGAATGAGCGGGATGGCGGGGAGCCAGCGGGGACAAATCTGCTGGGAAATGCACCTCCTTCTGGGCACGGCTGAGCCCAGCCACCCCTCGAGCAGGCAGGGGGCTCAGCTAAGACAGCCATCAAAAGAACAGCCAGAGACGTGGTCAAAGGTGGATTTATAAACTGTGCAAACTGCTGGTGTGTGATGGCACCTTAATTAATTGCAAAAGCTGAGTGAAGCTTCAAGTGATGCTGGTTTTCCTCTGGGAGAGGCTCGTTGCTGGCGGGGGCACCTCCAGCCTGGGGGACCCCGAGATGGGGCTGGCTCAGCACAGGGGCTGCCTCATGCCAGCACCAGGGCCTGTTTTGCTGTCGATTGCTCCTTACCGGTACCCCAAAAGTCTCCCTGTCTTTTGTGGCCAAGGATCTCCAGGCTTCCTGCGACAACTGCCTTGTTGGGGAGCGGTGGTCCATGGGTCAGCAGCCCTGTCCCCCTTTTGGCGCAGAGCTCTGTGGCACAGACGCCTAAAAAGGATGGTAAAAAGTTTTTTATTAACTGCTTTTGTTTTGCAGGGGCTTGGTAGCTTGGCTGGAAACTTTCGTTCCTGGGTGCAAATTGTCAGAGACACTGCTGATCGGACGTAAAGTGCAGATCTGAAAAGAGAGCAATTCCCACTGTGGTTTCTGCTCGTAAAACCGGTCAGC